AGACTCTCCCATGCCAATCAGGCTGAAAGGTGAAAATTAAAGTAATTTCTCACTACTAAGGTAACTGCATGCAGGTTCATCAAATCTTCAAAACGTGGCAGTGGGTGATACCCTTGTTTATGAGCCGATCTTACTACAGACAGAAATTTCAATTGCAGCTGTTCAGACGTACTATGGATAAAAGAGGAACGATTCTTACATGTCAAGGAGTTGTGAAAGGTTACACGTCAGGGGGCAGAGAGGCAAAACAGTGCTATATAGATGGGCATATTAAAAACCGTCACTGCCAAGCCTTCCAATCCATCTCTACAAGCAGGCCTAAATGGCGGACGATAAGGACAGTAGGATAATCTCATGAAGCCACAAAATTCAAAATCTGCAATCAATAGTTGGAACGAAAAAATATGAATCACCAAGTCATCATGGTGATTATCTCTATAAATAAGAATTATGGGACAACGCATGCAAAAACGTCAAAAAAACTGTCAACGTGATGCAGTTTGAAAAATAAGTCAAATACGACGAACTGTACCGCAATTAAACTACTATCACCACCGTGGTAGCAAATCCACTTTCTTAGCAAGGTGCCCGGATTTGTCTTTCAGTGCTCTTAGACCAACCATTTCTTTATATTTCAGGGGCGACGTAAGTGGAATCAAACAACAATTCGTAGAAGTATGCTACTGAGTACCACTGGTACTCAAATCTGTCTCTGAGGTAATGCAGAAGACGTGACAAACGTAAGACTGAAACTGTGCAAATTATACACAACAACGGACCTCCTGACCTCGCCTAAATGTAAATCCTAGTCATTTTCTATGCGAATTCTTAGCTCAACGGTAACAAGGAGGTAGTGTGCAAGACTTTTGAAGCTGCCATCAAGTAGTTCCACAATTTAAATCAAGAACTATCAATGCCAACCGTATGAAATTTCACAGCAAAAACGTCGTTTCAGCGGAAGCTTAAATCAGGACAACGAAATTAGCATTTCAGCAAGAAGAAAATTGCCTTGTGAACCGGACTAACTAGCAAAAAATTCAAAAGTGTGTTTCCGCTCATTTTTGAATGCAGTCAAAAGCTATCTGTATTACATAACCTAAAATTTAAAACATTTTAACTCATGATAAAATATTTAAATCTTCAGACAGTCATAACTGTTAATTATGAAATCTAGATGCTGGTGTTGACTTGCCTTGCACCTTCCACAATGCTCAGGAAATGAATCGCAGAGAATAAAAGAAACAAGAAAAGAGTAAAGTTTTGCGTATATCTAAAACAATTAGGCAAAAAATTCAAATATATAAATTACGAAGCTTTTTATTCGCCTCTAAGACTTCAATTTGCTGTAAACAGTAGGCCAATTCGTCATCACCATTCGGTTCATCGGCAGGAGTGCTCGAAAAAGCATTTCTAAATGAACGAAATTATAGTCAGCCTTGGTAAATAATCAACATTTTTATAACAAGTTTTTTAGTTTTTTAAACCGGGAACATCATCATAACAGCATCATGTCTGCATATAGAAAAACAACGCAAAATAGATATTTATTACACAGTACAATATTGTGATCAGTGGTGCGATAGACCGCAATTCATGATTCGGCACCTAGTTCAGGGGCCTTCTTCAAGGCAGAGTAGTTGTTTGTACGGTCACAATGGAGAAGATACACCTTACCCTATGTCATGTGACAGCCGCGAAGACGGAAGGAGACTTCCAGCGCAAGAACGAAATATTCTATTTTAACCCTTGAGAGAAAACCGTGTATACTACTTTGTTTTTCAGCTAATCATTAACTCGTCTGCAGTCGATGACGTAAAAACAAAGGTATATTACGTATTATTAGTAAAGAAA